CAACCCCGCCCCCTGGATCTTTGTTCTGCAGTGAGGGGCTACTGAAACAACCTGTAAAGATCACAGTTGGAGAATTTCAGATGTAAGCTGGCTTTTGGGGTCAAGTCTTCAAACTACGATCAGACGCTACCTTCATAACCACAACTTGTTTGAGAGAGTTGCCATAAAAATTCTTTGCTGTCATCAAAGAACAAACTCAAGCACCTAGATAGCCATGCAAAAAAGTACCTCATCCCCAATTTGAAGTGTGTTTTTTAAATCTGTGATTTTGTGGGACTTTATTTTTTCTAAAGTTCTTGGACAACATATTAGGATCATGGACCGGGTTACTCCATCACCATTAAGCCCTTGAAAAACGCATTTAACCTCATTTACTGTAGGGCGACTGAAACTGTAATGAATGTACTCTATTTCATTCTAGATAAAAGTGTCTTAATTGGTGACTAACAATTAACTATGTATTTGTGTTTTGTACATATCTGCAGTCTTTTATGTATGGTGACTACATTGTATATGACTTCTGGCTTGGAAAGGTGTACGATCTCAGCATCCAAATCGTTGTGAAGCTTTCCAATGGTGCACGGTAATGTGATCACACTTTTTTTCTTCATGTCACTGTTGGTCATGCAGTATGTACATGTATGAAACATATTAAACATGTAATATCTTGTTCAAGTGCACCTGAGTAGCAGAGAAAAAAAGAATGCAACATAATTTGATAGGATTGATTGAATAGGATATGATGTGTTGTGTTACAACAATACAGAACAATTTATTTTTTCACTGTAGATGCTCTATGAGTGAGGAAGACGGTGCAAAACTCTACGATATTTACCCTCACATCAGTGATGTGGTAGGTGCTCAATGTTTGTGTTCTTGTTTGCATTATCAGTTACGGGATCTTGTTTGCTCTCATATAATGTTCATTTCGGCTTAGCAGAATGGCATAAATTACATTTCACAGTTGTATCCTTACCTGTTAGAAAGTAATTTGATTATTTCCATTTGCATATAGGTTAGTCCTGAAAGACACAGACTTCTCTGAATGAGTGCCCGTGTTCTTACCCCTGCCAGATTATTGTTATTACCCCCCAGCACCAACCCCCACCCCCAATATTGCTAGGTTTAGGAGGGTTTGAGATTAGGCAATCAAGTAGCTGCTTTAATGAGGGAGGTAATAATTTGGCAGGGGATTCAATTCAGTTCAATTCAAATTTATTTGTATAGCGCTTTTCACTGTACACATTGTTTCAAAGTAGCTTTACACAAAATGCATGCGTTTACATTACAAAGCACAATTTGTACATGTGAGTCAAACAGATGAAGCCCAATAGAATAGGAGTGCAATAATTCTCACTCTATACTTTTTGGTAAAATATTTCTTAGACATTAAACGGGTTCAAATTCTACAAATAACACAAGTTGTTGTATTTTGATGAGAGCAACAACAGTAAGAGTTAATGGATGTGCCAGTTAACATATAGTCTGTGCTTTTGTTTTTGTTTTATAATCATTTAGTTATATTAACTTTTTGCTTTAAAGGGGTCATATGATGTTGCTAAAAAGAACATTATTTTGTGTATTTGGTGTAATGAAATGTGTTTATGCGGTTTAAGGTAAAAAAAACACATTATTTTCCACATACTGTACATTATTGTTTCTCCTCTATGCCCTGCCTTTCTGAAACGCGTCGATTTTTACAAAGCTCATCGGTCTGAAAAGCGAGGTGTGCTCTGATTGGCCAGCTATCCAGTGCATTGTGATTGGCTGAATACCTAATTGGTGACGGTAATGTTACGCCCCTTACCATTAGGGGTGGGAATCGCAGGGTACCTCATGATATGATACGAATGACGATACATGGCTCACTATACGATAATATCACGATACAGCGATTCTGCGATAATCGATATATTGCTAGACAATCCTATAACGATACATCACGATATCTGTCAAACTATGAAAACAAAATGCCTGTGAAAAGGTTAAGTGCAAGTTTTCTCTCTTTATTCAAGTCCAAACTGTTAGAAAACAGCACAAAAGTTCTGTAAATCAAATTTAACATGCTAAGTAAAGTAATCCTTTTATTCTTGGACTTATTAAAAGCTTACACTTTTCTTTGTGTGTAAACCAACACATTTAACTGCTTATATATAAACCTATATATAAACCTGGTACATTTCAAAATTTACCTGGAGTGTTTTCTCAACCTTTCCTCTCCTCTCATCATAAAAACGGAGCCCCGCACAGTACACATGACATGCAGGGGGAATAAAGCCGTTCACATCGCGCACCGCACAGTACACATGACATGCAGGGGGAAAAAAGCCGTTCACATCGCGTCTTTTGCGCGCTCAGGTTCGTTATTTCAAATGTAGACGACATCCAGTTTTGTTGACAAAAAACTGGACGCGCCGGCGGGACTCTCTCACTCATATAATGAGGGAAATCCACCTGCGATCTGAGCGGAGAGGTTAGGCTACTCATGGACTGAATAAGCGCTCTGCAATAATAACGTGATGGGTGCCGATGGTGCGTGGGCTAATAGCTGTTCCGGGGCAGTTTTTTAGTTCTCATTTCCATAAACATATATAGCAGTAGAGCTAATACAATGGCTGGAAATCTGTTTATCCTTCGGTTCCTCGTGCTTCCCCATCTTCATAGAGAACGCGGTTCATGGTTGCTTCAGAGCGCTTTGGAAAGAAGGTGGAAATGGCGCGGCCACGTTTTTAGACACTGGGAGCAGGGAAATCTATATAGAGCGCCTTATTGTAATTAGGGATGCACCGATATCGGGCCCGATACTGGTCTCCTGTACTCGTACTCATACTCGTTAAAATGCCCCGATACCAAACACCGATACCACACAGCATGTGTTAAGCGCCATATTCAAACAAAGAAACA